ACTCTCATATCCCAGCCTCACTCCCTCCAACACGAGAGCATCCTGGACACACCTGCCAGCTGGCAAGTGGTAGGGGTTTGGTTCGTAGACTGTATGTCCCACAGTCAAAGTTGGACCAGATAGGTCTCAGTTCACTAGTGATGAGGAGAGAAAGATGAGGTCATCAGAATTATCACACCCCAACCTCCTCACCCACATGGAGCAATGTCTAGCATTGAATTAACGCGTTGTGGGCATGTGCGTCAGCATCCTCTCCCAGAAATCCTCACCAGCAGCACAGAAGAAACCAAACCTCGCCACTGTCTCCAGTACGGCAGCCACGGCCAGTGGTGACCAGTCGTCTGACACGGCCCCAGAGGTGTCGGTGGAATCCCTGCTGGAGTCATCCGAGGTGGAGGAGGAGTTCATATCCCTCATCAACATCCCCAGCACTCCCTGAGACCGTCTTCACTGAAACATGTGTGTACATCGTGGACAGCGGAGGCCAGCCCGAGTTTGTGGATGCCATGACGGTGTTCCTAGGGCAGACGTCGGCCTGCATTCTGGTCATCGATCTCTTCCCAGCCACTGGACCACCGCCCAACGATCGGCTACTACCGAAGGGGAAGAGCCGTGTCCAAGCCCTACCGGTCCACCCGGACAAATGAAGAGAACCTGAAGTTGAGCATGCGGACCATGCACACGTTTGTCTCCAAAACGAAGGGAGATCCCCTCAAGCTGCTCTTCCTTGGCACCCATCGAGACAGCTGCACAAGTGTCTCTCAGAAACGGTGTGGAGACAAGAACAAACGATTGAAAAAAGCTGATTCCAAAGAAGTTTGCCAGTCAGGTGATCTGGGCCACCACCGAGAGTTGATCTTTGAGATGAACGCTCTGAAACCAGACCATCTGAGACAAGAAGACGGCCAGAGCGGATCCGACGCTACGTTTGGAGCAGTGCAAGCCCATCAAGGTGAAGCTGCCCGTGCGTGGCTGGCATTTGAAGAGAAGCTGAGGAGCATCGCGGAGAGACTGGGGAGGATGGGTGATGAGTCGGCAGGAGTGCTTGAAGGTGGCAGAGTCACTGGGGCTGGCGGAGAACTCTTTCGACGTTGCCTTGGACCACTTCCACGAAGTGAGCCTCATGTTCTATTTCCGCACCATCCTCCCAAAAACCGTGTTCGTCGACCCACAAGTGTTGCTGGACAAGGTCTCGGAGCTGGTGGAGTTCATGTTTGAGCTGCGAGAGCCGGAAGAGGAAGACGAATCCTCTGACGACACAAAACCAGAAGAGAAAACACACACCAGACGTTGGAGAGAAGACAACCGAACCACTCGAGACCATCAGATGCCAGCAATGCTTCCGAGCCGCTGTCAGATTCTGTCCAGTGAATCATCCGAAGTGCCGTCAGCTGCAGGAGAGGAGTCGTCAGAGACATCGTCAGACACTGCGGCATCGACCCCCGAGGATCCCTCTCCAGAGAAGGAACTGTCGTCAGGTGAAGCAGCAGACGTGGATCTCCTGCCTCCCGGCTGGCAGGAGTTCATGAAGTTTGGTCGAATCACAAAGAAGTTTCTGGAAGACAGGAGGTTCAGCAGCCACTACAAGGAAGGGGTCTTCAGCTGTGACGATCTGATCCACCTGCTGGAGGAGCTGCTGGTGTTTTGCCAGGCTGTGGAACGAGGAGGGTCCAGAGACCTGGTTCATGCCGAGCGTCCTCCGACACATCTCTGCCAGCGACATGGAAAAGAGGTGCTCGTCAGCCGGAGCCCTAGTGGTGGACTTCCCCGACGGTGGTCCCCAGAGTGGCGTCTTCTGCTCCCTCATGTCCCACGTCCTCTCTCCTGAAAACCACAGCCCCTACTCCTGGAAACTGAAGCTCTCGTCGCAGGAGCCTTCGTGTCTGTATCGCGACTGCATCCAGTTCGAGGTCCCCAAGTATCCTGGGTCGGTGACCTTCGTTGACCGCTACGAGTACTTCGAGGTTCACGTGTTCACCTCAAACATCTGGGAGAAGGAGCTGTGGGGGCACGTGAGAAAGGCTGTCTTTGGTGGGATCGAGACCGTGGACGAGACTCTGGGCTACTCCGACAACAAGCCACGGCCGGCAATCGTGTGTCCGAGAACCCACACAGACAGACCACACCCAGCCTACATCCGGGACAAGGTGTGGATCTGCACAAGCGACTGTGACAAGTTTGGATATCTGAGCACCAAATATCTCTGGATTCAAACTCCATGTGAGTCATAGTGTGCAGCAATTGTGCATTCCATCATACTTTGCTGATGTTCGTGTAATTATGTATGATGTAACATTTTGCAGGCGAACCCTCTCAGACCTCCTCAGCCTCAGTAACTACAGGTGATGCTACTACTGCAGAACAAAGGACACATGGTATGATATGTACACACTTCAATGCATTTGTCCTTACATGTACCATTTTGTATTTGCCTTTGCTTGCGTATTTTGATTTCATGTTTGAACTTTGGTTTACAGATGAGTCATCTGTGGAATCCTCGACTGCTGCAACATCAATTCCTTCTGCAAGTGATGCTCCCCTTCCTGCCCCTCCCACTCCAGAGACAAAACCACTTGGTAACCATAATTTTGTGTGTACACGTTGAAGATTTGAACCCCTGGTAAAATTGTCGAAACGACAACTCACCCTTCAGGCATGGCATCTCTCTCGTACACCATGCACAGTGCTGACAACATGGTACCTGCTGAGTTGCCCTGTTAGCCCAGTTAGTAGAGCACTGCAGAGTGTTGTGGATTCGAATCCCACCCAGGGTAGCTCTTCTTTTTTCCTTGAAAAAAGGGATGTAGTTGCCTTGTTTGCTTTGCCTTGCTACCTTGTTGTTGACACATCTGTACTTCAAATTGCAACATCTCCCTCTCTCGTATGTGCAGGTATCAAAGATCTCTTCAGTGTCTGCTCTGAACTGGTGGGAGTGGCTCACAAGTGGAAGAAGGTGGGACTGGCTCTCAGACTGGACCCTGATCTTCTCGACAGAATCGAGGCAAAGAAAAATGACGTCGAAGACAACTTGTCAGACACGCTGAAAGAATGGTTGAAGAAGTCGTATGACACAGAGAGTTTTGGGGATCCGTCATGGAAACTGCTGGTGGATGCAGTGGCTCATCGAGCTGGAGGCAAAGACCGTGCCCTTGCCATGGAGATTGCTGCCAAGTACGATGGTAAGTTTTAACAGCTTATCCCTTGTGTTGTGCTCACAAGTACGACTACGTCTTGCTTTCTCTCTCTCTCTTCCACAGTGCCACCTCCACAATAGCTGAACCAACCTCACTTACATCCATATTGAACATACCGGTATCTTCACACATTATTATTGGCTGGCCAAGCGAGCCTACAAATTTTTCCTTATTATATCATATCCAAAAGCTGTCACACTGGAGAATGTGCATGCTGCGTAACATCATGTAGAGCAGTTGTGAGGTCACACTCTAATAGACTTACTTGTGTTAGCTCGCCAGAAAGATCGTTCCTAAAGTTTGACTTCACCTGAGCCCTTGATAACCTAGTTGTAAAATCGCAACCATTGGAATTTCCAGAAACCCCATCAGTCTAAAGGTTGCTGTGTGCTAACAAAAGTGTGTGAAGTACAGGGTACTACTTGTATAAACAGTTTACACAATGACTTCCGGGGCTCAGGTGAACACATAATAGACCCTTTCCCACGTGACCTTCTTGTGTGCTGTTACAATAGCATGAACATTCTTAGGTCTGATGTGGCAACAGCAAACACAAAACCTCAATGATGTGCTGCAGAAATCTCGACTCTCTCATGCTCATGGTAGCTAATCATAATAGACTGGCTCGTTAATGTAAAACGCAGGCCACGTCTTGACCATGTACATAATATAATTAAGGGTGGCGCCTTATTGCTCACTCTTAAATTGAGAAAATGACTTTTTGAGAGACGAGGCAACATACAACTTAATACAGGTGACAATTGGATCAGACAAACGGAGAGAAAAGGCAACACACAAACACCGCTGCATAGAGAAACATACATTCACACACAGACTGTAAATTATGACACTGAGACAAAGAGTTTGGGAGTGAATCTTGAGGCACAGTTAGTAGTGTCTGATGTGAGAATCCAGGATAGAGACAGTTGAGAGTGGGGGGCAGCCCCTTGCTTGATGAAACGTAAGTGAAGGGTCTGGGCACAAGACTAGGTTATAGCTAGCTACCGCTGTAGTCTGATTACTAAAGCCTGCCCATGAAACCACACCTAATAATCTATTCTTCAATTATAAGCAACTAATACAAGAGGCAAGAGAATGTTCGTTAATCAGTGTTTGTCTATATTAATTGCGTTTCTTCTATGTGTACATTGAAATTTTATTTACCCTGCGTGGTAACTAGCTACAGAACCTATTATAGGGTTATCCATAAACTACACACCCAGATGACCAGGTGGACCCAAATCCTCAAGTAGCTACATAATGAGATAAGGGTGTTTGTCCTAAACCTCAACTTTCTCTTCTTAGTTCTTTAGATGTATTCTGTGACTTAAACTTAAAGGATGGGATTAAATGTCAGTAGTAAGACGAATAGAAACTCTTACCAGGTTATCATGTCTGAGTGCGTAAAAACTAGTCACAAAATTACAACCCAGTGTCGATAATGTTAGTGGAGATATTATACTTAGTCATTGAATAGTCAGCGAAACATGATCCACTCAAATGTGTCAATGAGGAGGAATCTTCCGTTGTTAATGACCTTCCACGGTTGTATAGTCCCTCCACGTCGACTCATGATCTGTTTGAATTGATCCGACATGTAGAATTGCGGGAAAAGTGCATTTTCTTCTGTTGATTGAAATAATCTGGCAGCTTCTTTGCATATCATCCACACTCCGTGGCCAAAGGCAGTGAAAAAGCCAGTGACACTGAACACAGACTGAAACACATGGCTGCAGCGGTTGTAAACTTTGTATGTGAACATTCCACCGGTTTTTTCATCGTCAAACGACTTGTTTTTCTGATCAGTCGCTGATTGCACGGCAACAGTATTTGTTTCGGCTCTCTCAGCCGCCGCCACCCAGTGCCCGCTATAGCAACTATCGCTGATGATGATCAGCACCGACTCGCCACTCTGTCCAGACAGACTTTCCTGCCACAACCGAAATAGATCTGCAGGAGCTAAACGATTGTTTCTTCCTGGCCCGAAGTACCACGCCCCGTCGCTACCGTAGCCGTGCCCGGTATAGTAGACGAAGAAAGCGTGAACGTCTGTTCTCCCAAACGCCTGTCGAAGCTGCTCCACAAGCCATTCTTTTCCTTGGGCATCCACGTGGTTGTAGCTGAAAAGTTCATTGATGTCTTGCCCCCGGCCGAAAAACTGGCGCATCGTCGCTAAATCTTTCTCCACACCAGCCAGGTGGCTAGCCGCTCTTTCCTCCAGCGACTTTTCTCGGCTGTCGGGATGCAGAAATCTCGTCCGACGTAGGGTCGCATGGGGCACCTATAAGGGCATAAACGTAGTGATTTCGCCCTGCCATTTTTCACCCTAATGGGATGTGCGTTATATAGTATAGAGTATAGAGGGGAAACTACGTAATAGCTACAACAGCGATGACGATTTAGGCGCTCCCACACCCCCGTAGTGTAACGTGTGTCACCGGTTCGTAAATTACTATATAGTACGCGAATGCAGGGCATTTTTGGCGAGCGGGAACGAGCACACAATGACTGTATCTACACGAGTCATCCTAGCCTATTTACAACTTGAACCTTAGAACCACGAAGATTTGAAAGAGGTATAATAATACAGCCTCGTTCAAGAGCGCAGCGAATCCCAGCGAATAGACGAGAGTTCTTTCGCTGGCCAGATTTCCCGTCGATATGACAGCTAGGCAGCGTGTGAAAATAAGTGCATTCCCCACCACGCAAGCGACGCTGATACTGCAGACGAGCCTCTCTCTGCTCAAGAGTCTCACGGGCACGACGTTCTTTTTCCCTCTCTCTTCGACGACGAAGGGCATCTTCTCTGGACTGATCCTTTCATGATTGCGAGAGTACGGCACATGAGTATAAAAGAAGCGCGTAATCCTACGGTCGTAAATATAATAGATAATCCGCGCCGTTCGTACCACTAGGTTAGCTCGCTCCCGCTCGCCAATTATTACATACATACATAACAACTATAGAGAGTCAATGGAGGTCCTACAGAAAGGACAGTGTCCTTTGCACAGTCCCTGTAGCTCATAGTCATCAGCCAAGAACATCTGCAGCAATTAGTTAAACATCAACTAAAAAGAGGTGATGTATTCCCAATAGTGCACAGATTGCACATAATACTCTGAAGTGAATATTGCCACCGAGTGAGCCTGGATACGCGTACATATGCATATTAATAAATGCACCATTTTCCGATCACACGGTAACTGTCCTTGCATGACAATGTTATGTCCAATCTATGGAGATGTGTGAGCTGCAGCTGACCTTATTACAGGAGCCACAGAGGGAGATGGGGAAGACTCCAATTGGAGCCCCCCACTCCTTGACCATGACCTCTGACCTGTGTAGTCTGGTGAGTACAGAGCGACTGACCTCCACTGGTTGGAACTCGCTGCCGCCCTGTGCCAGATGCAACACAGTATAGTGGGTGACTACAATTATTCTTGAGCAAAACCAAACTGCATTATTAATAATAATAATAACAATAATTTTTATGACAAAGAGGAGCCATGGAGCAAGTATTCAAGCTATGTACAATGTAATAAAAAGCGGTATAATAAAATGTGCCACTGCATCATTTATGTTCTTATTACAGATTGTAGTAAGTAACCACGATTTCTGCTCTGTGAAGCCACTTAATCAGGAGAACGAGTTTATTACTTGTTCAGATTTGTTAGGTAGGTTTTCATTTAATTGACATCAAAGGTAACAGTCTACCAAACTTCGCATAGAAATGCTTGCTTTGCGTTTGTCCTCCTCGCTTTTTGTGCCTTGCTCTTTGCTGGCGTGGCTGCTGGGCTGGCTTTATGCCGGCTTGTTTTTTGCTGTCGTCTTGGTCTTGTGCCTCTTGGGCTTGGCGTGAGGCTCCTTTTGGTGGACTCGCTGCCGGTATTTATGCGTAGCTTGATTGGATATTTGTTGCGGTGTCCTTATTGCTTGTGTTTTTTTGCTTTTGTGTGTTCCTGTCTAGTGCCTATAGTTCTGCTTGGGTCTCGCGCGTTCGTTTCTCCCGGCTGAGACTGTGCGTGGGGATTACGATAGCTGCTTTCTCCCTTCTACAATTTTCACTTGTGACAAGCCTCTGACTAACGGGACCGACTTACGTGTTGTGTACCACCATCGTTCCTATTTCCAGACTGGTGCATCCACACGCTAGCGGAGTCATAGAAACCTCGAGCTGCGGCTGGAAGTGAGATGCAAAAATCAAAAGCCAAACTCCAGGCCAAACTCTGTCTTTTCTCAAGTATCTGGTACGATCCAGTTTGTTCCACCTGTCCAGTGCGTCTATGTCACGTTCGTACATTGCATGCCGCCTTTGAAGACTTGGCACAGTATGGTGAACAGGAAGTGGTATTTTGCGTGTTGTATCAAAAACACAAACTCTGAGAATGGAGTAGACAGACCGGCAGTATTCAGAGAGTATCGCACAATTGAATCAACACTTCCCCCCACCGCTAGCAGTGAACCGTGACAGGTACGTTGCTGCTTTGAGTAGCTATAGCGCACTGACTGCGCACTGCACTAGTGATTTCACAGCTATGGTGGATACCTCAGAATTAATGGAGTGAAAGGGTCGTTCTCATCATCTAACGATCATCTGGTGGTCCAGACAGTACATACCGATAGGAACATAACCTGCCACAAATCCAGTCCACACAGCACACCCTTCAGTACCTGGATGGATGGATACTGCCTTCCTCTGTGATACTGGGACCACTGTCCTTCTTCTGTGGAGGCTCCATTTGTATCATCTCACTGCCCTCATCGTCACTGCAGACAACATCAATGCATACCATTACTCTTCCTTGCCATTATACTGCTAGATGAAGCATCGGCACAAGTAGGTGTGTTATCTCACCTGATTCCTTCCTCTAGTACAAACTCCACCACTGGAAGAGGCTCTGATATAATGGGAGAGAGAAACATCATAGAGTCAGTAAGGTTGATCTCTGCTCTCCTACTCACCAAAGAGACGAAGGAACATCTCCTGAGCCCTGGGTTTACAGGGCAAGGAAAGTAAAAGGTGCACATATTTATTTAACGATATAAGTATGCATATCCACTATGCCAGTATTTTGAATTCGGGTTTTGGCTCGGTGCTGACCTTGACCAGCAGGAGTGGGGAGGGGCCTAGGCTCCAAACCACGAATGTCTGGGCATGGTCAGCAGTACATACCAGTGGCAAAGCCTTGTGGTGATGAATCTCACAGTTCAAAACCACAAGTGCTGCGCTCATGGCAGCCTTTATAAACTCGTGATGCCTGAAAGAGAAGTTGCGGTACTCTGCTGATGAGGGCCAACAAGCCGTCGAAACAACTGTCCAGAGCTCCGCATCTTTTTTTCTCTTGGAATCACATGGTATTTTCTACATATATATCCCTCTAGTCCCTTAGAACACCACACAGCTGAAACGACATTGCTAGTACACAAACTACTATTGGGCCCACTGGTTCATAGCTAAATGAAAAGCACTAAAGTGCAAACCCTCGGCGAACTGCGCATGTGCGGTACCACTATTTGATGGGCTGGGCTTTTTATGCCTTTACTCGTGGTATCCCGCTAGTAGCTCGCGGATAGTCTGACACGGGCTAGCTACAATAGTAAATAGTATGCGGGAGTCGATACATACCCTTCGTTGTGACTTGTTGTGCCTTCAAGACACACAGAGCGAACAGACGCGGTCGGGGTAAGCCTGTGCTGATTTACATATTGGCTTGTTCACTTGGTTTTCACGCCATAACTTTAAAACACAGTAGAGTAAGCCACCGATAATCGGACGCCATGTATTCTCGGACGCATTTGTGAAATCTGTGCAGGACTAGATTGGCTACTGTGTATACCAAGTGTAGTTCTTGATCATAGCTGTTTGTATAAAATATCGCTCTTATCCGAGCTTTACCGTGGGAATGACGTTGCCGTAAAGTTACGATTCGGGCACAGCCAGTTCGACAAGCCATCAAAGGTAAGACAGTCTCCCAAACGGACAGTATGAATGATCCAAGCGAGTGTATGCTCGATTGATAGCTGTACCTTTTGGCTATGCAGCGACCCATAAATGGCCCTTTTTTTCCATCGCTATTTTTGCTCACGAAAGCGCAAATAGGCGGGGTCGCGTAAGCCGCGTTTTACGCGAAGAGCAGTTTTCGGCTTTTTTCTTCTAACACACCGCCGGATGAAGCTATAAAATTTTCTTCTCGTTCTTCTTCTGCCTATATTAGATGCCTGCACCACGATTTCCGTTTTTGTGATCTACTTTTATTGGTAATTACAAAAAAATAATTATTGGTCATACAAAAAATTAAATCTTACAACAACGGAATCGTGGTGCAGGCATCTAATATAGGGCAAGAAGACGAGGAGAAATTTTTAGCTTCATCCGGCGCGTGTGTTAGAAGAAACAAGCCGAAACTGCTTTTTCGCGTAAAACGCGGCTTAACGCGACCCCGCCTATTTGCGCTTTCGTGGGCAAAATAGCGAAGACAAAAAGGGCCATTTGTGGTCGCTGCATAGCCAAAGGTACAGCTATCAATCGAGCATACACTCGCTTGGATCATTCATACTGTTCGCGTTTTGGGAGGCTGTCCTACCTTTGATGGCCTTGTCCGAACTTGGCTGTGCCAGAATCGTAACATTACGGCAACGTCATTCCCACGGTAAAGCTCGGATAAAAGCGAATATTTTTATACAACAGTTTATGACCAAGAACTACACTTTGGTATACACAGTAGCCAATCTAGTCCTGCACAGACTTCACAAATGCGTCCGAGAATACATGGCGTCCGATTATCGGTGGCTTACTCTAGTTTTACGAAAATCGCCTTTTTCAAATTCAACCCAGTGTAACACTGAACCCGATCATATCGCTATTTACCTGATTCCGTGCGCACGGTGGCAGAAAACGTGGTAACAGACAGACAGACAGACAGACACACTTACGGGACAACTACCGTAACCCTCGCAGCGCATACGCGCCGAGGGTTAGGAGGCTATAGGACCTGTAGTAGGAGTGTACGGCCCCAGGCTTCCGGCGACTCGCAATCGTGCGTGCCTGTCTAAATAAGGCCACGCCCACTCGATGCCGCGTCAGCAAGTCAAGTGATGGCAGGGTCGGCTGACCGCGAAGACTCCGCGGTCTATGCAGCCTACTGCTCCCCCCAGGAATGTCACCGA